CTGGGAGTGTGCCGCAGGCGGCTCCGGACGTGGCAACAAAGCCTCGATCCGTCGGATCATGCGAAAGGCCTCGTCCAGATCGGACGAAGAGGCCCGGCGGTCCACCCGCAGGTGCAGGCTCGCGACCTCTCGCTCCACCAGGTCCAGGCGACCCGCAAGACGAGCGAGCTCGCCCTGATTCCCGGCCTGGGCGGCAGCATTACCGCCAGTCCCAAGGCCAAGTGCAATCTCAAGCACGGGGAGACGTTGACGGAGGCGGTCAACCTCAGGGTCCCGTGTCGGACCCGCAGTCGGAGCACTCGAACGAGAGTGGCTCTCGGGAGGCGCCGAGTACTCGTACTCGTACGAGGGCACCTCCGCCCCTGCTTGACCGGAATGGAGAAGTCCACTTCCACGTGGAGCGGATCCTCCAGGAGCAACGGTGTCGCGGGAAGCGACAGCTCCTCGTGAAGTGGAGGGGTTATGCCCACTCCGAGAACTCGTGGGAGCCGATTGAACGGCTCCTGATTGACTGCCCGAAGGCTGTCGCAATCTGGGAACAGAAGCGGCGGCAGCTTCATAAGTAGTCCGGGGCTTCTTGCCCGAACGGGGTACGGATGATGAATACATACCGTACCCGCGCTCATCGTGAGCGCTAGAAGCCGCGCGCTTCAGGATGTCCCTTGGCAGCATACGCTTGCTGATCAAGTGGGCAAACCTCACACGAAGATCACGCTGGTCCAGGATGTGGGACAGCTGCTGATCTTCATGGAGTTCCCATAACTCCGTGGGCGAGTACTTGAGAGTCTCCACCCACGCCCAGAACATGTCCTCACAAGAACTCCATGTGGGACAGTTCTCGGGCATAACCCAGGGGTATCCCCAAACAGGATAGAGACCACCCCGGGTCTCGGGCTTCTTACGACAAGTCGTGAAGTCCTTAAGGGGAATGCGGTGTGGCGCGAGAAGCACACACCGAGCAGCCTCCACGTTGTCGACGAACAACTGTTCTTTCTGAACAAGGGCTCGTTCATAGATGCCCCTAGAAGTGTGGCCGCCCACAAGGCCACGAGGAGCGACGAGAAGCTCTAAGAAGAGGTCAGCCCCAGAGCTCTCCTCGGGAGGCCAATACCCTCTTGAGTTGATGGCAGCTCCCTGGCTGACGGGTGCCGCCACCGAACCCCCACGCACACGCTGGGCAGCTTGGAAATCCTCCTGCTGCTGGTCGAGGTCATTCGAGACCTCCCGGGGCTCAACAATGGCACCCTCCTCTTCCTCTTCTTCCTCCTTCTCCTCCTCTTCATCCGAGGAGCCGAAGAGACTCTGATAGGGGCGTCGAGTCTCCTTCTCCTCGCGGAGTGGAGACTTAGAGGCGGTACGCTTCTTTGAGGGCTTGGCGCCTTCGGCTTTAGAGGCCTTAGCGCGCGCAAGACCCTCGGCAAGCGAGAGACGTTTGCGAGGACTCCCTTCCTCATCGCCACCGGCTTTGGGAGTGCCCTTAGCCTTAACGGCCGGACTCTCAGAGCGCACAGAGGTCCTGGGACTGTGATCACCGTGATCACTAGCGGACGACTGCACGCTGTCTTCTTTGTGCTCACTGGGCACTGGGCTGTGCCCTCCCACAGAGCCCGCAGGAGCATCATGAGTGCTCTCGGACTCGGCATCGTCCTCACTGCCCGAGTTGAACTCACGTTCTACGAACCGAGGGTTCGGACGATTGTCTGAAGACGAGGGCGACGGACTGCGGCGCCTGCTTGCGCGCTTGTCCGCAGCCGCGTCACCCGAGGATCCGATCGCCTCGGAGGCCACCGGAGTAGCCTCCTTAAGTGCAGAGCCTTTGCCGTGAGGCTTAGTGCTCTTGGCCTGCGCCTTACCGGCTGCAGCCTTGGAGCGTGTCTTAGCACCGCTCTTAGCAGTGCCACGAGGCATGTTAACGGTCGAAGTGGAGACCTTGACGAAGAGCGCACAGGTTGCTGCTCGAGGCTCTAACTGTAAAGTGAGCCTCCGCCGCGCTCGCGCGGCCGAGTCGATGGTTTTCGACTTTGAGAATGAGAGTTTGTGACGAACATCTCTTCATTCTGATTGGTCGGTAAACCGAACCTAAGTGGGGGAGGATGTAACGGGGTACGTAGCACTAAGTGTACCCTGGTTACATGAAGTGTGACACTTCACACTTCAGGAGTATGACATGTCATACTCCGGGATATTTGGTACAAGGTACCAAGGTCATTCAAAACCAACCATTGGTTTTATGACATTGCATTTCTATAGGTAACTGATAGTTTGTATTAACCTCAAACTTAACCTACCTATAAATATACTCAGTTTACAATCTACCTTATTTAGGTCACTTCGCTCTCTTTAATTAAAGAGGGGACCTGTGAACTGCCGTTCACTGAGAGTTTGTATACTCTCGGAAGATAACTTCCTCTAGCGCAAGGTGCCGTGTGACCCCGTCACAAGTACTAAACCTCAACAGATAACATACAACACGTAGTTCATCCAGCTGTAATTACGGTACATGGATGGTACTTCACGTGCGTTTCACGAGTTTTTGCAGGACATTGACAGTATTAAAGTAGTAGGTGCTGAACTGAGTAAAAGAAAAAAAATAGGAAGCAGAAAGCGTTGCATAGTTAATTGCTAGCTCGACCTACGTGCCAAACGAAAACTGTTTGCTGTCACTTAGCCCAAGTCTCGCATCAACGCATCTCCTGCGGCTGCGAAGCAGGCGCAGCATCTACTATAATCAATGAATTACGCAGGATGCCGTATTAGAATCACAAAACATACGGTATTACTATGCACCTCTGTTTACGTCGACGTTTGAGAAACCCCTTCAGGCCCTAAGCCTCTTCTTGTTTTTCTCTGAGCTCTGGCGACGTAGAGGCTGCCAAAGCAAAGCGGTAGACGGTAGGGCTGTCGACACGTTTCCCTGCGTCGAATTGTGCTCCGGTTGCGCTGCCTTGAGTTGTTTCAGCTGACAGTTTAGCTCCTTGGCCAAGTTTTGCATGATAAGTTAAGGTTTGGGGGCAACGTGGTGCATTTTGCGATCGATTTCTTGTCCCTGAGCTGTCGTGTTCTTCGCAAGCTGACGTTTATCATCTTGGCCGTTGTTAGGTTGATCTGCGGAGTTGCGTTGTGGACATCTTGGTTCTGTGGAATAGTGCTTACGTTGAGGAGCTCATCTATATCTAACGATTCGGTTTGTAGATCGGGCGTAGGCAAGTCAAGATGGCAGTGTCATCTTGATAAACGCTAGCGAGATCGAGGAAAGATGGAAGTCGAGTGCCTGAATAAAGTGAGATGAGTCGAAGTTATTAAAGACCATTGAAGAATCCCCCTTTATTGTGCTTTGCCTACTGCATTTGCACGACTGTGATAAAACGTAGAAACAAAAATCTGAGGTAGTATTAATCTCACTGCAGTTATTTAGCCACGATTGATCAGGTAGAAATTCTGCCAGAGAAAAAGAACATAGCACTATTGAATAAATTTATCATTGGTACAGTGCTCTTGTTGTAAATCAAGTCCTCTACAGACAGCGACGGCAAAATCCGCCACGATTTGAGCGCCATCCTCCATAGTAATATTGTCGTATAAATCAAAACAAAATGAAAGTGACATATTTCAATTGACATTCCACTTCGAACATTAACATAGCATTACCAGCGTCTTTCACAATGATTTTGACTGACCCAATTGCACCATTCAATGTATGTTACTGCTTTATCTGCAAAAGATTCTTAACTTGCTCAAATATTGTGTTCTGAACTTCAAGTTGGTCCTGGCGTATTTTGTCGTATTTCACCGTCGTTGTCTGTATCGTGATGTATGAAGTACATCTGTCGATAGCCGCATTTTTAGCTCAAAGCACGAGAATTGCTTTCTCACGCCATCTCTGTTTACCTGTAGCATGTGTTTGATCATCAAATTAAAGCCAGTGATTACCGACCAGCACTCACAATTCGCTCTAGATAGCATTAAGAAAAATTACTATTAATATTGTAAAACTACGTAATGCTGATTCATTTTGGGGGAGGTCGGAGTACTACAAGAGCAAAACCCAAATAGACCAGATTATCTCTTTTTTAATTGAGGCGAGTACATAAGTAGTTATGTTTGGGGGTATGCGTGGACTGAGAAAGTCAACACAACATTGAACAGTTTTACATTTTCGATGCTATTTCTTTTTTTGCCTTCGAACTTAAACGTTTTGTTATCAAAAACATTCGTGGAGTATCTTTTCAGCTCAACCATACTGGAATCAAGATATTTTACCGTCATATTCGAAGCATTTATAATTGATTCGGAGCACCTGGTGCTGATACCGGTACCCGGTAAAGCTCACATTGCGGGACGTGGACCTCGAAGGTCTAGAGAGAGGGAGGGAGGGGGGGGGGGGCTCGCAACTTCAAAGCGTCATCGGATGTATCGCGACGCTAATGAAACACAGGCTTCCGCTCTACAGGAATAAGGTCATTAACAAACGTGAAGTATTGGTTAAAATTGATCGATCAATACTTGAATCTTAAATAGTCAAGGCCTCCACAAAGCCTAAAAAAGTTAATGGACATCATAATGGCCGTTGTGCCATGGTGGATTTGAAAATGCAGCTTTTTATAGTGATCTTGGATAACCGCGCTAAGTAAAAGACGTCAAACAGTGGAGAATATATTTAGGTCAGCGTAGGGTTTCTTATTAGTGGCCTCACACATCCAGACAGCGATTCGGACGAGCTCACGCATGACAGGAGGTAGTAGACATAAAAAGGTCTTAGTGGGAGCTGGCACGCTGGGGCTGCCGATCAGCAGCTGATTCAGCTTGGCAACAGTCAGGTCAAGCCTGGGTATTTCTTAAACGCCGGACATGCCCTCGTGGAGCACTTTTAGCCCCTTGTTGTCGCAGTTGGCCTTGTAGAAGTCGCATCTTTCCAGTAGGTGACACCGTTACTTGCACAGACTAGAGGGTTATTTCCACCGTCGCATATAATGTAGGGAACCGCGGCGCAAGCAAAACCTTCAGCGGAGATTCCGACGATCAGGATCGAGGCGAATGTAGTGACAATGGCGAACTTCATGACTTCGAACTTGGGACTTGTGGCGGAGGAACTTGAGGTCTTGCGCGAGCGGAGAGACTTCGGAAATGTAGCTGTAGTGTGTTGCTGGTAAAAAGCAAAGTGAACAGGACAAGAGTACACTGCTCTTCGATTTTCTACTGCGGCTCCTACTTTCCAAGGAATTGCACGGTTGCGTTGTCGTGTACTTTATCTCTTCGATAACATACAACACGTAGTTCATCCAGCTGTAATTACGGTACATGGATGGTACTTCTAATGACGTGCGTTTCACGAGTTTGCAGTACATTGACAGTATTAAAGTAGTAGGTGCTGAACTGAGTAAAAGAAAAAAAAATAGTAAGCAGAAAGCGTTGCATAGTTAATTGCTAGCTCGAGCTATCTGCCCAACCAAAACTGTTTGCTGTCAGTTAACCCAAGACTCGCATCGAAGCATCTTCTGCGGCTGCTAAGCAAGCGCAACATCTGCTTTAATCAATGAAACGCGCCCACGACAAAGAATAGCACATTAGCTCCACAAAACATACGGTATTACTAAAGCACGTCGACGTTAGAGAAACCCCTTCAACCCCCCTAAGCCTCTTCTTCCTTTTCTCTGCACTCTGGCGACGTAGAGGCTGCTTGGTAGCAGTTTGCTTCCAAAGCAAAGCAGTAGACAGTACCGGTAGGGTTGTCGACACGTTGCGAATTGTGCTCCGGTTGCGCTGCCTTGAGCTCTTTCAGCTGACAGTTAGCTCCTTGACCAAGTTTGCCTGATAAGTTGAGTTTTAAAGCAACGCGTTGCATTTTGCGATCGATTTCTTGTCTTTGCACTGTCGTGTTCTTCGCAAGCTGACATTTATCATCTTGGCCGTTGTTGGGTTGATTCGTGGCGGAGTTGCGCGGTATAACACCTTGGTTCTGTGGAATGGCGCTTACGTTGAGAGACTTGAATTTTTTTAACGCTTCCGGTACAAAATTGCACCATTTAATGTATGCTAATGCTTTATCTTCAAAAGGGCTTTAACCTGTTCAAATATTGTGTTCTGAGCTTCAAGTGCTCCTGACGTATTTGTATGATGGCGAATTTCATCGTCGTTGTCTGTATCGTGATGTATGACGTACGTACAGTACAGTGGTGTGAATAGCCGCTTTTTATTCAAAGCACGATAATTGCTTTCTCACGCCATCTCTGTCTACCAGTAGCATGTGTTTGATCATCAAATTGAAGCCAGTGATTACCGACCGGCACTCACAATTCGTAGACGCCGATTCTTGATACACTACTGCACCCCGTTTTCGCGGGGGTGATCATATAGGGTTTGCAAATAAAATATATTCTAGCTTACAAATCATTTTTCATTTAGATTGAGGAGTATTACATCCGGAAGTTTATCGAAGGTCCGATGGCGCGAAAACGGGGTGCAGTACTGTAACAGTAAACCTACTACAGTAAAATTGCGTAATGTTAATTCATTATGGGGAGGTCGGAGTGCAAAAAGAGCAAAACCTAAAGAGATGTACATGTACTCGTGCCAGTTTGCTCGAGAAAAAGAGGATTGTCTTTTTGTACTCTCTCGAAACCCAAGCTCAAGGTGTTATAGAATAGCGCAAGTCAGACGTCTTTTTAAGAAATCTTAATAAACACATAATTTGTTTTACGGAGGGTCGACAAGACAAACCACATTGTCATTGGCCAAAATACCGGGTAAATTATTCTTGTCAGAAATGATTTTACCGTAATTTACAAACAAATGGCCAGTCTCTATGCTACTGTGAGGCGCAGATGAACCTCGAGCTACAGTACGAAATTGATCACTAAGAGCTTTCTGCTTTTGAAAGTGATTGGGTATATCGTGGCGCATTCGTTGCTGCCGTTAATTTTGATATACTGTGGTTGTGCTGTACAAATACGTGTTGGTTGGTCGAACGCGGCACGACGTTGATTCACTTCGACTCTTCGATACGTGCATACATTTTTTATTATTAGGGAAAATGATAAGTGATTCTGATTGCGCGAAAATTTGGTGCGGATCTGTATTTACACTCCCTTGAATCTATAATGATATGGATTATTGAAGGCAGTTATATGCCATAGCTATCTTATTTTGATTATGTATATCAAACGATGGGACACGACAACGATTGGACGCTGGCTACTACACTCACAGTCGAAAACGCTCCCTCCCTTCGACAAGAATGGCGAAGAGATAGCGCGAAGAAGCTACTGGTGCTCAGAGCAAGAGGCTGACCTCCGAGGTGCTATTGCTGGTGATAAAGGAAGTGCATAATCGATATCACGGATTTGGGCAGCGTTAAGCTTGTACGGAGCTAACGGAAGAGCCACCACTCGGGGAGAGGACCGGAGCGAAGACACTTGAGGGGAAGAAGGAAGATTTTAAAAGATTGATTTATCTGAGCTTACACTGATCTGACTACCTAGGTTATCCACCATTTGGTGCATCTCGTCCAACCATCTTACTCGTTTAATCATCGGTAGCGTAATCAAGGTACCGTAATCATCGCGGGAACGTGTTGAACCGGTTTGGGCTACCGGTGCATAGGTATTTACCGTCTGAAACTGGTATCCCCCAATACGCCCCCTCAACGCGAGCACGCGCTCAATCGGAGCGCAGTCGCAAGGTCCTTGTGACGTGGCCCAGGAAGCGTCTTCGTCACGATGTCCCCCAGCATCAAAGAGGTTTCGCAGTACTCGAGCTTGACGGCACCGTGCTTGACCTCATCGATGTGCTTGGCCCGACCATGCTCCACGGGGTTCTTAGTCATCTTGATGCACGACTGGTCGTCTTCAAATACCTGAGATCTGGTCCCGATTCCCAAGCTCCCGCCAAAATCTCGCAAAGTAGGCAGTGAACCCTCTGACTTCTTGAATAGACAAAATTAGCGCTATGTACTCTGCTTCGCTTGTTGACAGCGACACACTTGACTACGTTTTATTCCCCCAACTCACGGGTGCGCTCATCAAAATAGTCGTGTAGCCCGAAGTTGACTTGCGATCGAAGTGGCACCAGGCTAGTATGCGTCAGAGTACCAGCGGAAGTTCACTTTGTCACCGGGCTTGAAGCAGATTCCATGCGACTTGGTACCATGTAGATATAGAAAGGAAAGCTTCACCACAGCCCAGTGCTCAACTTATGCGTTCTCTACGAAACGGGAAACGTATCCTACGGCAAAGACAATGACCGGTTGTGTCGCTGTCATCAAGTGCATGAGTGCGCCTACAACCTCGCCGAACGGAGCGTTGACCTTGGTCGACGCGCGGCTTGTAGCTACTCGAGAGCTTAAATCAGCTGAACTCACCACCGCGTTGCACTCATCCATGTCAAAACGCTTAGGGATATCGTCGACATATCGGCGCTGGCACATCGTCGCACTGCCGTCAGTGTTGAACACCAATTCGATTTCCAGTACGAACGCACACTTGCCTCTGTTGGTCATCATCTCGACGTGCTTCTTGAGATCGCTCTTGGTGCTTGCAATTAGCTCGGTCGAGCTACCGGTCCCAAAAACGTCGTCTACGTAGACCAGCAGCAATGCACAGTGACCATCCACAATCTTAAGGTAGAGACATGGGTCGTATGCCGATCCTTGAAAGCCGATGGAGCACACGTTCTCGTCAGAGGTCTCGTTCCACACGCACGATGCCTGCTTGAGACCGTAGATCTCCTTCACCGGTTCCAGGCAGTCAAGTCATCCTCAAACTCGACACCTTCTGGCACAATTCCGTACACCACCTCCTTCATTATGCGATACAGGAAGACTGTTACCACGTCCAGTTGATCCAGGGGCCAGCCGAGGTACACGACCAAAGCAAAGATCATGAGCAGCGTCACGTACTTCATCACGGACAAGAGCGTTTCGAGTAGTCAATGCCGCACTTCAGCTTGAAGCCGTTTGCCACGAGGCACGCCTTGTACTTCTCGATCGATCCATCCGCTTTGCGTTTGATCTTGAGCACCCACTTCGTACGGATGGACCGCTGACCGTTTGGCCAACACACCGCGAAGTCGCATCGTGTTAAGTTTGACACGGATGGCCTTACGCCAATGCATTTGATCAGGCCCGTGTACCGTTTCTTCGAACGTTACCGGCTCAGCCAAATCGCCAGCTTCCACTGCGCTCGCACTTGGTCGTCAAAATACAGGCGGAGCTGCGTCGGTACCGTCTTGATCCTCGACGTCTTTTTCTTCTTCATCAGCCACAAAACCTTTGATTTTTTTGCACACCTGATCGACGCTTTGCTTGACGCTCAATCGAGGGCTTCGAAGCGCTAGCATCTTCCAAACCGACAGCCTGCTGTGCAGCGTGCGATCTCGTCGTCATGCCATGAACGTTACTTGGGCTGGACTTGCGTTTTCCCGCCTGCTCAAATTCCGTTGGACCCGCATTTTCAGTATTGTTGATGCTGAGTGAGTCGAGGTCGAGATTGAAGTCTGCGTCGTCATCGCTTGGACTAGCCGTCGAAAACCCAGAGTTTGATTCGTCGAAATTGATATCGCAACTGATCATCACCTGCCCCGCCTCAATGTCATAAACTCGATGCACCTTTGACACTTCTTCATAGCCTATGAAAAATCCAGCGCGAGCCTTGGGATCCTATTTGAGTATCTTCTCCTTTGGAGTAAGGCCGTACGTCCGACACCCGAACACACACATGTGCTTCACACTTGACTTGGACTTGTTCACAATTTCAGAAGGAGTCTTGTTTTCGATCTTGCGTGACGACAAGCGGTTTTTAGCGTAAATAGAAGCCATCAGCGCTTCACCCTAGAAACACTTTTCCAACTTGGCATGGTGCGACATACTGCGACCAATCGTTACAAAAGCCCTGATAGCTCGTTCTGCAGTGCCGTTCGTCTTGTGCGCTTACGTAATAGTGATCTGCCGTTCGATGCCTAGATCTTCATAGAACGCCTCGGGTGCGTTTGTCGCGAACTCACGACCTCCGTCATGGCGTACAAACTTGACCCGCTTGCCGAATTGCGCATGTACCTTCGTGATGTAGCTCTTGAGGCATTCTTCAGCATCCGACTTGGCTCGTAGGCAGAGACCCTTCATGCATCCTCCGATATTCGCCAGCGATGAGCAGCGGGTACTTGCTCCCACCCAGCGATTCTTCTTCCATGGGACCGCATATGGCGAAATGAAGCAAGTCGAACGTATCTGGTCTGCCCTTGTCGCGGCTACTGATAAAAAAGGTTTCTAGACCATTTGCCTTTGCTGATACCCGCGGTAGATACTCGGTCCACATGACTTCAAAGGTGCCTTGGCTTCCATGATTATGCCGTTATTGACCATCTTGTGTAGAACGTCGATAGGAACATGACAAATGCGCGCGTGAAAGTAAGCGTTCGACTTCAAAGTCACTGCGTTTACCGAGCGTAGTAGTGTGCGCAGCCAGTAGAGCCCGTCCACGAGGTCTGCTGTAGTCACCACTTTCTTTGAATTTTTGCGCGCAACGTGCACGGTTTCACCACCAAAGACCACTTGAAATTTGACGCTCTTGTTGATCTGCGGCGATAGGACGTTCTTCTTCATCTTTGACACAAAAAGCGCGTTGTTGACCTCAATCTCGCGCTCGATGATGGTTCCCACACCCTTGATAGCAATGTTAGTGCCAGCAGCGACCTTCAGCTCGCCTTCATCACGTTCGTTCAGCTTGATAAACTTAATCTTTTCATTACAGATATGGTGCTGTCGTCCGACCACAGCCCGGACATACGCTTGCTCGTAAAAAATCTACATTCCAACGAAACCGCAAACGCCACGCGATCATAGCCGTAGTCCTCGTTTCGCCACTGGACATTGTTGGCCCCGCGTCCACGACTGTTGTCGCCGCGTCGGCCTCCTCGATTCGTTAGCAGCGCCAGTGGTGGCCACGGCGGCTCCGACAGTAGAAGCGGATGAAGGCGTGACAGGCCGAGGCCGTGGTAGGAGCCACAACGAAGCTTCAGGTGCGGTTCAAGCTCCGCCTCAAAGATTTGGAATCTAATTGTTTATATTTTATATCTGTGTGTGTTTCTATACAGCCAGCCGTGTAGATGATCGCATAGGCAGTCGATATCGACTGGACGGCAATCTGCTGAAGTACAGCATCGACTGATTCGATGGACCTCGTGTCGTCGTTTCAAATGACGCTGATCTACGTGCGCGTATAATCCACGAGTACCATAACGCCCCGACTGGAGGTCATCTCAGAC